CGCCGTGCCCGACGACGGCGACCAGTACACGGGTTTGTAGCCCTGCGAGATCAAGCCGTCTTGCACCTGCATGTACGTTGCATCGATCACTTATAGGAAGTCGTAAAGGATACCATCTTCTTGAAGACATCGTACTGCTTGACTTCGTACGACGGGTCCATCGTGTGGTACGCCGTGCCAGGCGCGCCGCTCCAGTCGGCCAAGACGCCCCAGCGCTGGAGATCCTTCTTCTGCGCGGCAATGGCCTCGAGCGCGAGCTCGCGCGAGTGGCGGCGGATCTCGGCCGGGTCCATCTACCTCCACTGCATAAGCCATGGTCCTTCTAAGCATTCGGTTGCGCACCTGGTCACGGTTGGTGTCCTTGAGCCGCTCGAGCGCCTTGATCTCAATCGGGAGGCCGTGGCAGTCCCAGCCAGGAATGTAGTCGATCTTGTACCCGCGCTGGAGCTTGTACCGGTTGAGCATGTCCTTGAGCACGCGGTTGAGAAAGTGGCCCGTGTGCAGCGACCCGTTCGCGAACGGTGGCCCGTCGTGCAGGAGGAACGTCGGCGCGTCCGAGCGCTCGGCCGCCTGGGCTGCATAGAGCTGCGTCACGCAGCGCGCGTGCAGCTGCGGCTCGCGCACGGTCGCGTTCGCCCGCATCGGGAACTCGGTCTTGGGCAGGTTGAGCGTCTTGCGAACGACATCGCCGACGGGTTTGGGTGGCTTCGGGGCCATCCTGCTCCAATTGCGCAAAACGGCAAACTCGAAAATGGCCAATCACAGCGAGCGTATCTTGCGGCATCCGGATAATACCGGATACGCGATTCGTTCCACGCGGTTCGGTGATGCGCATCAAACAGATCCAGTTCTAGCTCTATAATTGCTGGTAGACTAGCAAGATATATACTACCTGTTCAAAGCCTCGACCATGCCCACGCGACCGACTGCCGTGAACGCAGCGGTCTTCCATCAACGGCACACTAGTTGGCCCCGAGCTGGTGATGCGCGCCATCCTTCTCTTGTCCGACTGCGAGGACATCGACACTGCATTACGCAGTTTCATAGCATTCAACTATAGCTCTTTTTCACACAGACCCATTTCTTACTTGATTACATAGGCGTGGGAAGATTCTGGTCACCATCGAGCGATTCTAGCACTCGCTAGATACGCACTTCCGGCTTGCAGCGGCTCAGCATCGCCGACAACTGCAGCGCCGTCGGACGGTCCTCTTCGTAGAGCGAGAGGCACTGCAGACCAATCTCTTTCACCCACGCCGGCACGCCGTGGCCGTCAAACGTCGGGTGCAACTTGCCTTCGCGGACGTGATTCAGAACGTAGTGCTGCGGCAGCGCCTTGCCCGAGTCCGGGTGGCGCAGGTCCGCGTACGGCACTTGGTGCGTCGCAAACTCGGACAAGATGATCCCAAACGAGTACACGTCGGCCGGCGCGCCGTAGTTGGTGCCCGAAATCACTTCCGGCGCCATCCACTGGTACGTGCCAATGCCGTTGGTCATGAGATCGTCTTCTTCCGCGACCCGGGAGGCACCAAAGTCTGTGAGCTTGGTGCCCTTGACCGAGTCGAGGAGGACGTTGCGGGACTTGAGGTCGCGATGGATGATCGGCGGCTTGTACGTGTGGAGGTAGACGAGACCCCGGATGATGCTGAGAATGCACTGGTACTTTTGGTCCCAGCTAAACTGCGCCGGCGACTGGTTGATGAGGTAGCTACGGAGGTCGCCGAGGTCCATAAACTCGACGACGCACTCGATCTCGATCGGACGGGTCCAGCTGGCGCCGACAAACTTGACAATGTAGTCGCTGCTCATCCTGAAATGTACAAGTTGTCAGAGTTCGTTGCCACATCGTGATCGAGTTGAACGTACTGCGACATGAGGACGATCTCGTCAATGAACTTTTGAACACTGCGCGCCTCTTGGTTCTTCATGCGCTTGATCGCGACCTGCTTGCCGCCGTACGAGCCGAGCCAGACTTCGCCAAACGCTCCAGAGGCGAGCGGCTTGTTGGAGGTGACGAAGAGATTCGAGAGCTCGAGACGGTGGTGCAGTAGAGGCTTGACGTCAAGGATGATGTCGGCGTCGGGGTAGCCGAGAGTGCCGCGCGACCGGTTGGTGCCGTTGGTAGCGCCGGTTCCGTTGGTATAGCCGCCCGTGCCATTCGTCTCCTTGCCGTCGTTGGGCGCTCGGTACGGAAAGTCATCGGTGGGCTGCCCTGGCTGATGCTGGCGCTTGCGGCGAATGATGAAAAAGGCAATCACGGCGACGACGACGACGCCGCCGACGGCAACACCGACGATCAGGCCCGTGTCTACGTCGTATCGTTAGCAACTGTTGGTTGCCGTTGCCGATGCAGACGTACTGCTGCCACCCGACGTCGACGGCTCGGTCGTCGTCGGCTCGGTCGTCGTCGCGTTGCCTGCTCGTCAAAATGAGAAATGCTACCACGGAGCTTGGCATCGTACGTGACGCAGCCATGACGCATGCGGTGACAGAGACCTTGGACGTGCTTTCCCAGAGCTTCTTGATCGAGCCGCCGGATGTTGTGCACGCAGCGGCGTTGGTTGCCACGGCGTAGTTGATGGTGTACCCCGCCGGCGTGTCGGTGAGCTTTTCTCCGTTCCATGGCTGCAGTGCATTCAGCGCCTTGTACGAGGGTGCGTCGAGGTGAATGTCACTGAGCTTGGAGCAGTTGACCATGCTCCTATTCAGCCGACGGGTGGTGAGTACGTCTAGATCGTAGCGCTCTGCTTTGTGTACACAAAAGCAATATCGGAGAATTGAATGTTCATGATCTTGGTCAAGTCTTCGTTGTTGGACATGTTCCTACAAACCTTCTTGAGCAAGCCGAGATGGCAAGAAACATTCTTACAAATATTTGACGCTGCGCATGTCGGCGTTGCTTAGCGTCTTGAAAGTGTTGGCTGCGATGTTCCTATCGGTATAAATGGTAAACACTCGAAAAGTGGCGCATTGAATCGTACAAAAACACAAGATTATTTGGCAAATACACCAGGTCCGTGAGGTAGTTGCTCTGAATCGCCCTACAAGATACGATAAGGTGCGACGGAATGAGAAGAGAGCGTACAGTTTCGTAAGCGTCGTCGGAAGGAACTGCGGAATGCTGTTCATCATATTGTTCATGAGCACACTACAGATTTCATCCATGTGAGCAACTTGCCCTCATCGTTGCATCAGTAGCGTACATGAGGTCGAGATTGGTCGGCCATTTGATGCCGTTGGGAAGGTTGACGGGGCTGTTGAGAATTTCCCTAGCGCCGCGTTCGTCAAGACAACATCACTGAAGACCCAGTGGCACGTACAAGGTCTTGACCGAGCTCCACTGCGTCAGCGCCGTGTTGTCAAGGTCGATCTTGGTCACATTGTCAAAGGTCCTAGCACCGACGTCTTTTCAGCACCCACACGGAGGCGAAGGCGAGCGGACAAGGTGGTGACGGTGCCGGGCACGGTCATGCGCGCAATCGTGAGCGATGCCGAGTTCTTCATGGTCCTACAAAGCGTCGTGAGAAGGCGTGCTTGTCGTGTTGGCTTGCTTATCGCACAGTTTGTTGGCTGTGTAGTCGGCCAAGTTGCCGACGCCAGTCCAGCCCGCAAACGTCTGGATGGTCCCGTAGTCGGTGGTCACCTTGCGGTCGCACCTGTTGTTGGTCGCACAGAGCGTGATGGAGGCCGAGCAGTTGCCGTCGGCGACGAGCACCCAGCCCGACGGGTACTCCTTGTACGGGCAGACCGCTGCCTGGGCGCCGGCGATTGCCGCCACAAGTACGAGCTTGGCCGCGAGCATGCTTCTTGGCGAGTGAGAGTTGCACGTCACAACCTCGTGCAACAGCTGGTGCAACAGAGCTCTTTCGAAGCCCAGTCAAGTTGAATCGACCACCCTGACCCTGGGGGTCGGCTCGGATCGGGACGGGATGTGGGACCCAATCAAATGCGAGGCTGTCGAGCAATACGTCAATCGGATTGGCTGGATTGAAGTCGTGTCGCGTATTGGCGGGGACGGGACCCCGGGGCAGACCCCAGGGCCAGACTTTACGCCTTTGTGGAATTCAAACCACATGGTGGTGGGCCCATAAAATCTCGGAGGTTGTGACAAGTGTCGACGTCAAGCGAGTTGCGAGAGTCTCTGAATCGTCGGGTCTCTCGGTACGGATATAGAGTACCGTCGGTGGTGCTCGACGTTCGACTTAAACGGATCTCGTTCTGAACGCAGCAACGGTGACTTTCGGTCGACTTTCGGTGGCGCTTTAGAGTGGAGATGGCGCCTGCCCACGCTCAGCGCCAACGACATCCTCGTCATATATTGTGCGCGTGTACTCTGCGTGCGGCGGCGACACGGACTACTTCCTCGACATGATCAAGCTTGACATGCTACGTAGCCTGCCCCACACCTCGTATTTCATTGGGGGTACCATGCGCAGTAGTTTCGCTTGTGTAAAAGGTTTGTGCATGGTGCCGTGGAGCCTTTTGATTAAAGTGTGGTATCGGGGCAGCGTGCTATCTAACGGTGCGTCGGTGTCGTAGCGTGGACTGATTGGATGCCATCAATCGTCGGTGTTCGGTTTCATGTACAATGTACACATTCAGCACACCCTGCCCAATGCAGACACGCATTCACATGGCAAATGTGTGCTGGGCGCGTGCGCCGAACGCGTACGGTGTGGGTTCGTCCAACAGATTGTGTGGGTGCTGCAGCGGCGTCGACGTCAAATTTTCTTTTCTTGCATGGCGGTGAGGCTGGTGCATCGTCCCGATCCCGCCAAGTTGTTGTCTGCTAAAGAACCTTCATACCTTTTCAGCACTCGGGTCCAATATCGCATGCCGGACGCGTCTTGCTTAGGGGCCACAACAGTTTGTTGCAGCGATCATCAACCTTGCAGGGCCAATGGCGTCTATTCGCTATGTACTCATGTTATTACCCGGTCCAGCTATTCTACCCGTGTCGTGACGCAGTGCCATAACTTCGTCGCTCAGTTGCATGCCGTTGTACACGCGCGATTTCCCAGAAAGTGCAGCACCTAGACGTCGCTTCCCAGGTGTCGCCAGCCAAATATCATCGCAGCTCCTTGGCTTCTTCCAAGGGAATAACTTATTTATGCCCTTGCTCCCGCACGCCGCCCGACACTGGCGTCCCAACATGACCGGAGCTTCTACTACTATGAGCTTCGCGCGCAAATTTCAATTCACAATACTAACTGCAAACGCTACGCTCATCCATTGCATTATCGCGCTCAGTATCCTACCGTGCACTATCGCGGGTGCACACGCTACACTCGTGGTCGGCGCATCGATGCCAAAACACTCGCTACGTTCGCACGTGGCCTAGGCCCCAACCGCGCCTCATCGCCATAACCACCGTCATCGACCCCTCTCCGCACCGCGCCACCGTATCGTGACCGAGCGTATCCTGCACTTATTGCAGGTGCACAGGCTATGCTCGTGGTTGATCCCAAAAGCACTCGCTGCGCTTGCACCTGGCCTATGCCCCAACCAAATCCAGCTATGGTCGGATGCACTCGCTTCCTACTATGGGGCCACCGAAATGCCCAGATATTTTACTGTTGAGTTTCGACTCGTGCGACACAATCTGAGACTCAGATTCAACATCAACTTGGTTTTCGAAAGAGCTCTACCGTCGGTGGATGTCGCTGGTGAGAAATCAAAATGCACATGTGCGATTTCCGTTGGAGCGCTTGTTTTGTATGCAGAAAACACACATTTCTCACGGACCAATGGGTGGTCGAATACGTGGCAGCATGTGAAGGCACGACACGACGACGGGTTCAAGGACCTTGGACATTGCATCGCAGGATTGTGGATGCGACCACGAGGTTCCTAAAAGCGGATAGGGACAGCTCACCGGGTCTCGGAGCATTGGGAGTGGCAACTGGAAGGCGATTCGTTCTGCGGCATGCATACTTTGCCGTCAGTACTTGCTCAAGGCGTACTACGGGAGGCCTCCTCGTCCAGTGAGTCTGTCGCTCGTGCTTTGAAATCAGGTGCTTCTTCTGAGGGCATGACGCCTACGGTACAATATCAATCGATCGGTCTGCACGCTACCGTAGCCACTCGCTACAGTAGCTCCAACCAACTGTACGTTTGAGCAAAAACAACTTTTGCTCGCTCAAAAATGGCCGATTGAGCTGATTTTTTTATATGCAGAAAGGTCTTGGATTGAATACGCGTATGGCGGAATCCATTCTCAATTTCAATGCGTTTTGATGGCTTGAGAAGCACGGGAATGTTACGCATTATTATGGCTAAACGCGGGTATTTGTTATGTAACAAAGCTACAAATACTAGAGCTCCACCCGCCGTATCTTCTCTCACGGCTTGCAGCGGCTCAGCATCGCCGACAACTGCAGCGCCGTCGGACGGTCCTCTTCGTAGAGCGAGAGGCACTGCAGACCGATCTCCTTGACCCACGCCGGCACGCCGTGGCCGTCAAACGTCGGGTGCAATTTGCCTTCGCGGACGTGATTCAGAACGTAGTGCTGCGGCAGCGCCTTGCCCGAGTCCGGGTGGCGCAGGTCCGCGTACGGCACTTGGTGCGTCGCAAACTCGGACAAGATGATCCCAAACGAGTACACGTCGGCCGGCGCGCCGTAGCTGGTGCCCGAAATCACTTCCGGCGCCATCCACTGGTACGTGCCAATGCCGTTGGTCATGAGATCGTCTTCTTCCGCGACCCGGGAGGCACCGAAATCCGTGAGCTTGGTACCCTTGACCGAGTCGAGGAGGACGTTGCGGGACTTGAGGTCGCGGTGGATTATCGGTGGCTTGTACGTGTGGAGGTAGACGAGGCCCCGGATGATGCTGAGGATGCACTGGTACTTTTGGTCCCAGGTAAACTGCGCCGGCGACTGGTTGACGAGGTAGCTACGGAGGTCGCCGAGGTCCATAAACTCGACGACGCACTCGATCTCGATCGGACGGGTCCAGCTGGCGCCGACAAACTTGACAATGTAGTCGCTGCTCATCCTAAAATGTACAAGTTGTCAGAGTTCGTTGCCACATCGTGATAGAGTTGAACGTACTGCGACATGAGGACGATCTCGTCAATGAACTTTTGAACACTGCGCGCCTCCTGGTTTTTCATGCGCTTGATGGCGACCTGCTTGCCGCCGTACGAGCCGAGCCAGACTTCGCCAAACGCACCGGACGCCAAGGGTTTGTTGGAGGTGACGTAGAGATCCGAGAGCTCGAGACGGTGGTGCAGTAGTGGCTTGACGTCGAGGATGATGTCGGCGTCGGGGTAAGCAAGGGACCCGCGCGTGCCACTCGTGCCGTTGGAAGGACCGCCGGTGCCGTTGGTACCGATCGTGAGGCCGCCAGTACCCATCGTGAGGCCACCGGTGCCGTTGGTGTAGCCGGTACCGTTGGTGTAGCCGGTTCCGTTGGTGTAGCCGCCCGTGCCGTTCGTCTCCTTGCCGTCGTTAGGCGCTCGGTACGGAAAGTCATCGGTGGGCGGCGCTGGCTGGTGCTGACGCTTGCGGCGGATGATGAAAAAGGCGATCAGACCGACGACGACGATGACGCCGACAGCAACACCGACGATGAGGCCCGTGTCTACGTCGTATCGTTAGCAGCTGTTGGTTGCCGTCGCAGACGCAGACGTACTGCTGCCGCCGGGCGTCGGGGGCTCGGTCGTCGTCGCATTGCCTAGGCGTCAAAAATGAGAAACGCTACCATGGAGCTTCGCATCATACCCGACCCCGCCATGACGCACGCCGTGACAGAGACCTTGGACGTGCTTTCCCAGAGCTTCTTGATAGACCAACCAGCGGCCGTACACGCAGCGGCGTCGGTCGCCACCGCGTGGTTGATGGTGTACCCCGTCGGCGTGTCGGTCTCTTCGTCTCCATTCCACGGCTGCAGCTTGTTGAGGGCGGTGAACGATGACGCATCCAGCGTAATGTTGGTGAGGCTCGAGCAGTTGATCATGTTGCTACGAAGATAGTCAGCAAGAAGGAACCTCATGCGATAGTTCTGTACACGAAGGCAAGCTTGGAAGACAGCTGCACGCTGGCAAATGTCGTCAGATAATCATTGTTGGGAATGTACCTACAAGCAGCCGCTGTGGTGAGAATCGTAAAAGCGGGATTAGGGGAGAGCTACAGGTATTCGAGCGAGCGCAAGTCGACGTTGCTAAGGGTCTTGAAATTGTTGGCGGCAATGTTCCTATCGGTAGAAATGGTAAACACTTGAAAAGTGGCGAATGGAATCGTACAAAAACGCAAGATTTTTGGGCAAATAGACGAGGTCTGTGAGGTAGTTGCTCTGAATCGCCCTACACGATATAATAAGGTACTCTGGCGTGAGAAGAGAGTACAGTACAGTTGCGTAAGCGTCGTCGGAAGGAACTGCGGAATGTTGTTCATCTTGTTGTTCATGAGCACACTAGAGATTTCATCTAAATGAGCAACTTGCCCTCATCGTTGCATCAGTAGCGTACATGAGGTCGAGGTTGGTCGGCCATTTGACGCCGACATTGGGAAAGTTGACGGGGCTGTTGAGAATTTCCCTAGCATCGCGTTCGTCCGTAAGTACACCATTCTCCACGATCAACTGTCTCGTACAAGGTCTTGACCGAGCTCCACTGCGTCTGCGCCGTGTCGTCGAGGTCGATCTTGGTCACATTGTCAAAGGTCCTAGCACCAACGTATTTTCAGCACCCACACAGAGGCGAAGGCGAGCGTACAAGGAGGTCACCGTGTTGGGCAAGCTCATGCGCGCAATCGTGAGTGACGCCGAGTTCTTCATGGTCCTACGAAGCGTCGTGAGAAGGCGTGCCGTGTTCGCTTGCTCATCGTACAGCTCGTCGGCCGTGTAGTCGCCTAGGTTGCCGACACCAGTCCAGCCCGCAAACGTCCTGTTGGTCCCGTAGTCGGTGGTCACCTTGCGGTCGCACTTGTTGTTGGTCGCACAGAGCGTGATGGAGGCCGAGCAGTTGCCGTCGGCGACGAGCAACCAGCCCGATGGGTAGTCCTTGTACGGGCAGACCGCTGCCTGGGCGCCGGCGATTGCCGCCACAAGTACGAGCTTGGCTGCGAGCATGCTTCTTGGCGAGTGAGAGAGACATGCCTCCAAGATGCACGTCACAACCTCGCACAATGACGTCGGCGGGTGTCACTTGGTGGAAATCAAAATGCACATGTGTGATTTCCGTTGGAGCTTTTGTTTTGTATGGAAAACACACACATTTCTCACGGACCAATGGGAGGTCGAATACGTGGCAGCATGTGAAGGCGCGACACGACGACGGGTTCAAGGACCTTGGACCTTGCACATTGCAGGATTGTGGGTTGTGGATGCGACCACGAGGTTCGTAAGAGTAGACAGTACATCTCTTTGGTTTCATGCTACTGCCACTAATAGCACAGGGACAGCTCACAAAGACTCTTCTCCGAGCATTGGGAGTGGCAAATGGAAGGCGATTCGTTCTGCTGCATGCAATCGTTGCCGTCAGTACTTGCTTGAGGCGTACCTCCTCGTCCAGTGAGTCCGACACCTTGAAATCAGATGCTTCTTCTGAGGCCACGACGCCTACGGTAGCTCCTACGGTACGATGCCATTCGATCCAATACTCTGCACTGCCGTGGTTCCCACGCTCACTCTGATCGACACATCCGAGCCCAAACACAAATGAAAGGCATGTTGCGTCGCCAAAATATAAACAAACAACCATGAGCGTCACTGTACACAGAAAGCGGAGCTCTCTCCGGGTTTCGAACCGAAACTACCTGGATGCCGCGATCCCAATACATAGTCCCGTTGGACACAACATCCTGCTACATACATTTACTTGCTTGGTATGTTTACAAGGTACCATGACCAGGGTTGAGAATGCCCCAAGCATCTTCCTACCTACTTGACACAACGCCTTTCCAGTATTACCCGCCTGTTGCTTGAACCAGCGACTAGCCATGGCTCGAACCGACCACTATTAGTACAGAATTCGAAGTAGCATCTTATACAGACAGTACTGGCATTATTGGGTTACGAAAGTGACAAAATGAGCCACACATTTGCTCGATCTTGATATCAATGTTGCGTTGAGTACTACAATGTTATGAAACAAAGCTACGAGCAATAGAGCTCCACCCGCCTTATATTCACTCACGGCTTGCAGCGGCTCAGCATCGCCGACAACTGCAACGCCGTCGGACGGTCCTCTTCGTAGAGCGAAACGCACTGCAGACCAATCTCCTTGACCCACGCCGGCACGCCGTGGCCGTCAAACGTCGGGTGCAATTTGCCTTCGCGGACGTGATTCAGAACGTAGTGCTGCGGCAGCGCCTTGCCCGAGTCCGGGTGGCGCAGGTCCGCGTACGGCACTTGGTGCGTCGCAAACTCGGACAAGATGATCCCAAACGAGTACACGTCGGCCGGCGCGCCGTAGTTGGTGCCCGAAATCACTTCCGGCGCCATCCACTGGTACGTGCCAATGCCGTTGGTCATGAGATCGTCTTCTTCCGCGACCCGGGAGGCACCGAAATCCGTGAGCTTGGTACCCTTGACCGAGTCGAGGAGGACGTTGCGGGACTTGAGGTCGCGATGGATGATCGGCGGCTTGTACGTGTGGAGGTAGACGAGACCCCGGATGATGCTGAGAATGCACTGGTACTTTTGGTCCCAGGTAAACTGCGCCGGCGACTGGTTGACGAGGTAGCTACGGAGGTCGCCGAGG